GAGGGGAGGGGAAGGGGGAAGAAGGGAGGGGGAAAGGAGGGGAAGGGCAGGGGGAGAGGAGGGGAGGGGAGGGGAGGGGAGGAGGTTCCAGGCCTGTGTCCTGACACTCACCGACAGCCGGCCGTGGGTAAGGACGCTGCTCAGGTAATTTTTGGCTTCAGTCATCCTGCTCTCGTTCTTTTCCAGCAGAGGGACAGAGTCCTTTATTTTGCCTTGGTTCTCCTTCAAACACTGCTCCAGGAGGGCCTCGGCCAGCACCAACTTCCCGAAGTCATCTGAAAAACAAGGCATGGGTTGGGACAGGGAGTGAGGGCAGCCCCTTGTCCACATGGAGGGCACCTCCTCTGGACCACAGACACTCCCACCTCACCTATGCATGGGCCACATTTTCCATCAACTGAAAGGGCTTTTAAAGAACAACATAGTCACAGTACAAGTTGCTCCTTTGAGTTGGCTTCCTAATATAGTTTTAATATTTGAAAAGGCAGATTTTCTAGGACTTGGGAGAAATTCCCAGAATTTCAGAATTTAAAATGAAAGCAGGACAAAGTCATATCTATGCCCTGCTGTGAATAAGTTCTTTAAAATTTTTTTATTTATTTATCTGATACAGGGTCTCGCTACACAGCTTGGACTCACAATGATCCTCCTGTCTCAGCCTCCCCAGCACTGGGATTACAGGCGTGCACCACTAGAGGCATCTCACCCCTTAGGAAGACGTCCTGCAGAGAGCAGCCCTAATCCTCAAAATCCTAACAGTACAATCCCAGGCGGTTTCTGCTCTGAGAACATCAGATAAGATACCTTTCGCTACCTACCTCATGAGTTTTAAAATTAACATTTTGGGGAAACACCCATAAAGGTACGCAGTCAAACTCTGATCCAGCGCTATCGGAACACAAGAAGGCAGAGCCTTTCCAAAGGGCTGTCCGGCCACACAGGGCAAACCTGTTCCTGTGCGTCCCCACTGGCCCAGAAATCACATTGCCACACATTCCCTTGCACACCTGGAACATGACCTGTGTGTAAGACCCTTCCCGCAGCATCATTCACACCAGCAAAAAGTAGCCAGCGCCTTTCTGTCCACCAGGAGGCTAGTTAAAGGGTGGGACTTACATAAAAAAGGCCCACATCTTGGGGCCATGAAGAGGAGCGAGCACACGGTGTGCTTTTATGGAATGTACTGAGATCAAGTGACAACACAGCACAGTAATATGCGACTGTGCGCTCGCACACGCACACGCACAGTGGCTCTGGCAGAGCAAGGCTGCCACTCCGTTGTTCTGTACCAGTGGAAGGTCTGAAACATATTACCCAAGGAAAAATCAACTTAACTCTAACCAGCCTTGACAGGCAATCTACACTTCCAAATCTCAGCCAGGAAGAGGGGCAACCGCCTCACAGTTCTCAGTGGCAGCCCGGGTCTACACCCCAGGCAGGGTCTACGCTCTAGACAGGAAGGTTCTCTGAGCCTTGCCTCCAGAAGGGTGCGGCAGGGGAGGTCCGGGCAAGGCGGTGCTCACCTATGATCCCGGCCCTGGCCTCCAGGGGCAGGAGGGTTCCAAGTCTGAGCCTAGTTAAGCAACTGAGTGACTTAACAAGAACCTGTCTCAAAATGATAACTATGAAAGGGTTTGGGGGCGAAGGTCTCCAGTTCAACCTCCAATACAGAAACAAAAACAAAACATCTCGAGGTAGGCTTCAAAGTCTGCTCACACCCAGGAAGGGAAACAAACGCCCGCCCCTGGGCAGGCTCCGCCCCCGGGCGGTCAGGTTCCTTTCCCCGGGTGGCTCTCAAGCCGAGAGAAGCCCGCTTGCTTGGCTTCCTTCTTTTCTCTCTTCCTCCAAATAACGGAGGTGTCCCCACGAGTGTGATCCGGCCCCTAGGGAGGCAGTGCAGAACCTGGAAGAGAGTGGACGGAGGAACTGCAAAGGCGCTGAGAACAGAAAGACGAAAACTTGAGGAGGGGCCTGGGGAGATGGCTCAGTAGAACAAGCCCTTCCCTGGAGAGGGCAAGGGCCTGAGTTCAATCCCCGGTTCCGCGAAAAAAAGAAAAAAAAAAAAACCTTGTGGAGATGGGAAGCATGCTATTTTTTCTTTCATTTTGCTAGGGCTTCATTTCTACTGTACTTTGTGAAGGCAGGAAAGCACAACAGATTGGAGATTTAGACAAAAAGAAACAAAACTCCTTCCTCGCCACAGTCCCTTTGAGAAGCACTGCCCTAATCCCTAAACTAACAGTCTTCCAAAGGAGTGCTGGTGTTTGTTGAGGGTTTACAGCGTGCCGGGCCCTTATATATTTTTGTTAATCTGTACAGCCCTAAAAGATGGATATTATTCCCATTTTATAGACTATAATAAGCACAAGAAATATGGTTTGGGTCACAGACAATAACACAGCCAAAACATAATCTGTCTTTGCTGCACCCCATGTGGAGCCAGCTTTAGAAAAATCAAATATAGGGCCGGGGAGATGGCTCAGTGGAATAAGCACTTCCCCGGCAAGTGCAAGGTCCTGAGTTCAATCCCCGGTTCTGCAAAAAAAGATTAAAAAAAAAAAAAAAAGAAGAAGAAGAAGAAGAAGAAAGAAAGAAAAGAAAAATCAAACATCAAGCACAAGTCTATGAACTGTGAAGAGCAGGTTGAAAGCTAACAGCAAACCCCAGGACAGGGATAAGAAGAGTTCCAGTTTTCAGCATCAGACTTTGTGTTCAGAGCCACTTCCTTGCTTGGGGCGGGTGACTTCTCCCTAGGGTCTTAGGGCCCTCAGCAGGTGTCAGAAATTCACTCTCTTTCCTTCCCACACTTGACTCTTCTTCCTGCCCCACCTCTCTCTTCCTTTGCCCCTCCTTTCCTCCCCACTGTTCTCATCTGCTTAGTCTACAGAACTCAAGGATGTTTGCGGGGTCCAAGATCTATATTTTCAAAGCGGGCATGATGGTGCACACCTGTAATTGCAGCAGGAATTACCAAATTCAAGCCCAGCCCGACCTGGGTGGTTTATCAACTTAGTGGAACTCTGCTGCAAAATAAAAATAATGAAGAGCTGGGGATACAGCTCAGCGTGAAGGTCCTGGGTTCAATCCCCACTACGAAAAAATATTCATTTTTTTCAGTCGTTAAGAATGCAGGTGTCCTGAGTTCGAGAAAAAAAAAAAAAAAAAAAAGAAAGAAAGAAAGAAAGAAAAGAAAGAATGTAGATGGACAAAAGCATCCTCATCTTCCTAAAGGCCAAGAAGTTTCTTAGCATCCTGCCCCGCTCCCCGTGCAGCTGTCTCCTCCCAGGAGAAAGCCTCTAGGACCACCTGGGAAAGCAGCTGCCTGAGCCCGCACCCTCCCCCAGCCCTGCCTTAGGGAGGTCCAAAGGAAGCCTGACTGGGTGCCTCCTCTTTCTCCTCCCCAACTCTGGTCTGGAGAGCCTCTGGCAGCCACTTTCCTCAGCTCCAGGCCTCTCTCAGGATGCCCGCTCCCAGGGGCCTCCAGAAGGCCTCAGGATCCCCTCTCCCTTAGGGCGGTGACAGTCAAGCTCTAAGAGACCAGGTGCCAAGCTGCAACCCAAAACCCACTTATTTATTGCAAAGTGCCTGAACTACAATTAAACCTGGATACTAAGGTTTTAGTTTAGAAAAAACAGCTCTACCTTAACGCACCACTGCCTTAGGAAATGTGGTCAACCCAGGCCCCGGCCAGCCAGGGCAGACAGGCACAGTGGTTCCTGCAGCTGCTGGGGCCTTCCGACCACAGCCCTGGGCAGGGCCAGGCCCAAACTCTGTGGGAACTCAGGAGGCCCCCTGCCTCCAATATGCCCCTGCTGACTTAAACTGTCAACACAGTCTCCAAGGTTAAAAGGAAAATCAGCTGAAAACAAAACGAAATGAAAAGATCTGATCACTAGAGCTATTAGAGAGAGACTCAAGAGGGACAGAAACTAGGCAGGAGTAGGCAGGTGTTACCTGCAGAATTCTTTTCATTTCTGCTCTACATTTAAAATTAGTAAAATATTGGAAATGTTTCCAGTTCAACAATCAAATGTAATATGTGACCTTATTCAGATCTGACTGACTAACCATAAATTTTAGATAGGGTCTTGCTTTGTAGACCAAGATGACCACAAACTCACAATCCTCCTACTTTAGCCTCCTGAGTGCTGGGATTGCATGCCCATTAGGCCTAGAACATTGCTAGACTTTTCGAGAGCTAATAGTGGTGTGGCGGATGGAGCTAGGAGTGGTGGTGCACGCCTGTGATGCCTGCCAGCTTGGAGGCCGAGGCAGGAGGATCACAATGAGTTTGAGGACATCCTATACTGAGTTTAAGGCCACTCTGAACAACATAGCAAGGCCTGTCTCAAAAAACAAATGAGGGGCTGGGGAGATGGCTCAGTAGAATAAGCACTTCCCCAGCAAGCACAAGGATCTGAGTTCAATCCCCGGTTTCACCAAAAAAAAAAAAAAAAACACACAAATGAATGTATGGTGGTTACAATTTTTTAAATTCTTATTTAACAAATACATGGTGAAATACATGTGGAGGCATAGTCAAACACAATGGCTCATGAGTCCATAGTCAGGCTGGGTGGGATTAGATGAGAGTTCATCTGTAGAAACCTATGATACAGCAGGCTGCAGGGCCTCAGAAAACGGGGTTCACTGGGTTCAGCTGCCTCCCTGAGTACCTTTCACCTGCCTGATTGCTTGACTGTTGGGGCTTCCACAGTCTAACAGGCCAGGGGATGCGAAGGTCCCCGAGTGGCCACAGGGAGGATGGGGCCAGCACCTTGAAAACATGGCTTTTGATTTCCTGAGGGAATCGAGGGGCTCCTCAAAGAGAGTACCAAAATAGTGATCACCCCCAAAGTGTTCTGTGTGTAGGCTTTGGGAGTCAGTGGCTTTCTTTCTCTTTTTTTTAAAATGGGTTTACTGGTTTTATTTGCTATAATTTGTTTTATTTTTTATG